GGCCGCGAGCGCTACTTTCTGCTGGTTGTTGACGACTACACGCGGTACACCACTGTCTTCCCCTTGCGCAGCAAGGGTCGGGTCGTTGATGTCTTGATCCCTTGCATCCGCACAGTCCGCCTCCAGCTCTGCGATCGGTTCCGTGCGGACCTTCCTGTCTTGCGTCTGCATTCTGACAGAGGTGGTGAGTTCTCCTCCGACCTCTTGCGGGACTTTTGTCGTGGGGAGGGCATTCTCCAATCGTTCACGCTTCCGGACTCCCCTCAGCAAAATGGGATTGCTGAGCGCCGCATTGGCTTAGTCATGGAGGTCGCTCGTACCTCCATGATCCATGTGGCTGCTCCCCATTTTCTGTGGTCGTTTGCGTTCCGGTACGCTGCGCATCAGCTCAACCTCTGGCCCCGTGTCTCCTTCTCGGAGACCTCGCCTACACTGCGTTGGACGGGGAAGGTTGGTGATGCGTCGGTGTTCTGGGTCTGGGGTTCTCGTGCCTTTGTTCGCGATACGTCCGCGGACAAGCTCTCCGCCCGCGCTATTCCCTGCGTCTTTCCTGTCTTTACCCCTGACACGCCTGGCTGGAAGTTTTACCACCCCACCTCGCACCGTGTCTTCCCCTCTCAGGACGTCACGTTTGACGAGTCGATTCCATTTTACCGTCTCTTCCCCTACCGCTCTGCCCCTCCCCCGCCCCCGCCGTTCGTCCTTGCTAAAGGTCCCCCTCCGGTAGACCCCCCCAACCCCCCCCAAGGGTCCTGCTCCCTAAGGTGTGTCGCAGATAGACCCTCTCCCTAGTACTGCGCCTGTTGAGGTAGCTGTCGGCTCAGGTGCTGCTCGAGGAGCTGCGTCTGGGGGTGCTGCGTCTGGGGATGCGAAGCCGGGGGTTGCGAAGTCTGAGGGTGCTGGGTCTGGGGGTGCTGAGCCTAGGGGTGTGGAGCCTGGGGGTGCTGAGCCTGAGGGTATTGAGCCTGGGGGTGCTGCTCCTCCTGAGTCCTCTCTTCCTGAGGTCCCTTACCTTGAGTCTGACCGCGCTCGTGCTACCAGTCCCACTGTCTCTCGTCTCCTCGCGAATACTGTCATTGACCCTTCCTTTGAGTCTGCTGCTGCGTCTGCCCTCGTTGCTGAGCTGCTTGACTTTGCTGCTGCCTGTCGTCTAGACTACGCCACTGCTCTTGTTGTTGAGTCTGCGTCTGCCAGTCCTCCGTCCGTCGAAGGTGAGTGTACTCTTGGCACGGACGTCCTTGAAGACAGGCAGGAGGACTTTGAGTGCCTTGCAGCTGCTGTGCCTCGTTTCGCTTCCATGCTGCTTGCCCCTGAGGGAGACCCGGATGCACCAGACATCCCGACCCCGCGCTCTTACACAGAGGTGATTACGGGTCCTTACTCCTCTCAGTGGCAGGCAGCCAGGGATGCCGAGATGCCATCCTGGAAGTCCACAGGCACCTACGCAATGAGGTTCCCCCACCTGGGGCGAACATAGTCGATGGCATGTGGATTTTCAGGGTGAAGCGGCCGCCAGGTTCTCCGCCTGTCTTCAAGGCGCGTTACGTTGCTAGAGGCTTCAGTCAGCGATTGGGAGTCGACTACATCCAGACCTTCTCCCCCACCCCAAAGATGAATACTCTTCGGGCGTTGCTGCACGTCGCTGCTCAGCGTGACTATGAGTTGCACTCTCTGGACTTCACCACATCTTTCTTGCAGGGCAACCTGCACGAGGAGATCTGGCTGCGTCGCCCACCTGGCTTCACTGGGTCGATTCCTGTAGGTACCCAGTGGAGCCTCCAGTGGCCAGTCTACGGTCACCGCCAGGCGCCTTGCGAGTGGCACGACACACTGAGGACTACACTTGCGGCTCTTGGGTTTGCTCCTTCTACTGCTGACCCGACGCTGTTTCTACGCACCGACACCTCGCTGCCGCCGTTCTACCTCCTCGTCTACGTTGAAGACCTCGTCTTTGCCACTGCTCACACCGAGGCACTGACCCTTGTGAAATCGGAGTTGCAGAAGAGACACACGTGCACTGACTTGGGTGAACTGCGCAGCTATCTTGGCTTGCAGATCACCCGGGACGGAGCACGGCATACCATCACCCTGACTCAGTCACACATGGTGCACCAGGTCCTTCAGCGCTTTGGCTTCCAGTTCTCCTCGCCACAGCCCACTCCTCTGTCTACCGGCCACTCGCTTTCAGCTCCACCTTCGGACGAGTCCGTAGAGCCGAGTGGTCCGTACCCGGAGCTTGTGGGTTGCCTCATGTACCTGATGACGTGCACACGACCTGACCTCGCGTACCATCTTAGCCTTCTGGCTCGCTACGTGGCTCCCGGTAGGTACCGAAAGGTGCACTGGGATGCTGCGAAGAGGGTACTGCGTTACCTGTGCAGTACGTCGGGCATGGGGCTCGTGCTTGGAGGACGGGGTCCAGTTGTCCTCACTGGTCACGCAGACGCTTCTTGGGTTGATGACTCAGCTACGCAGCGGTCGTCACAGGGTTACATCAGCCTTGGTTCCGGTTCTGTTTCCTGGCGGTCTACCCGCTCGTCTTCGGTTCTCAACTCCAGTTGTGAGGCTGAGATCTACGCAGGGGCCATGGCTGCATAGGAGCTACACTGACTCACCTACCTGCTGACTGAATTGGGAGAGCAGCCTTGTTCGCCTCCAGTTCTGCACGTAGACAACAAGGCCATGATTGCCTTGTGTCAGGAGCACAGACTGGAGCACAGAACGAAGCACATCGCTCTGCGATACTTCCTTGCTCGAGAGTTGCAGAAGCGTGGCTAGCTTCGTCTTGCGTACGTGGCCACTAAGGCCAACACTGCTGATATATTCACCAAGGCACTTCCGCCTGGTGATCATCAGCGCTTCTCTACTGTGTTAGGCCTTTTGTCTACTTTGCCTCACTTGCTCAGTGCTTAACTTGCTTGTACTGTGATCTATATATATACCTGCATGCTTACACTTGCTGGGGTATGATCACTGTATTGTTTGTTCTCTTATATATAACTCTGCATGTGAACTGTGGCCTTGTGGCCCTTTGCTTGTGCTTAGACTGCATGGTGACTTTGTGATCCACCCTGTGCTTGCTTTGCTTTTGTTGACTGGTCTTGTGATAACTTGTTCTCCCCCACTTTGCCTATGGGGGTGTGTCAAACTCATATCTAGCTTACATTGTGTAGGCTGTAGTGGGGTAGCCCATAAGGGGTACAACCAAATTAGGGTTAGTACTTGTACCCAACTCTTTCATAGTTCATTCGTTCTCGTTCATTATTCTGACACAAAGTACGTCTAGGTTCAGAAAAACAAAAACGTGTTTTCAAGGCCTGAAAGACAAAGTGTATCTACAATCAACAACAAAGATTACATGTTAATATTCGTAAATCCGTTCTTGATATCTTTTATAATGGTCGCGTAATGCAAACATATCCTGGTTTTTCACGTTTTTTTGGACAATTATCTGCAAAAAAAACATATAAAATGGTTTGTATGAATTGAGCTGGAATCACATACATCAACGATACCAAGATGCAACTACAATAGAGGCTTTCGTGGATGACATGTAGGAGCAGATGTTAGTTTTGTGTTTGTGGTAAGCTTTGTCTGTTTAAAGGTTTTGTATGTGTGGTGAGCTTTGACTGTTTTGATGCTTGAAGGTACGTCTTCGTCGATTAGCGTTAACAAGGACAAAGGCAGCGGGTAGTTGAGAGCACCCCCCAGCGGGTGGTTGAGAGCACCCCCCACCCCCCAGCGGGTGTTCTGAGGTGTACACGAGAATGATTTGTCTACACAGTCCTTCTCGATCTTGGAAAAATATGCCGTTCGTAACCATCATGGGACTCGAAAACATTTTTGGTAAAAAAAATAAAGGGTACGGTCACTGCAAAGGGTGTTTTCACGCGACTGATAAAGCGTTTCACGGAATCAGTCACAATCAGCTGGTAAAAAAAAACGCGAATGGTCACAGATGAAACTCCCGCCAAAACAAAATGAAACCCAGAAAGAACCTGGATGCATTTTCGGATGATCAACCCTAAACACGTAACTCGCCAGGTGTTTAGGGTTGATCCGTTCCCAAACCGCATCCGATTCCGATTGGGTTTTAGTTTTTTACAAGTTCGCAGATTGGTTGGGTGCGAGCGGGAATTTTGTTGAGTTTCAAGTTTTTTTGGCGGGAGTTACATGTGTGACCATTCGCGTGATTTTTTACCTGTTGTTAGTGACTGAATCCGTGACCCCGCTTACCAAACCCGTCAGAAAACCCGATACAGTGACCGTACGCGTTTTTTTTTTACCATTCACGTTATCGAGTTCCAAGTTGGTTACTTGTGGCATATTTTCCCCTCGATCTTTAGGCAGGAATACACAGTGTGTCTTAAAGGCCACTTCTACAGTGTAGTCCGGATTCGAAAGGAAGCACTTGCTTTTGGAGTTTCAGTGCTGTGAGGATAGGTTTCTAGCTTGCCACGTGAGGAGAATCCAAATTGTATGTACCCCGCTGGAAACAATACACAGTTTTGTAATGCTCGAGGAAATTCGGGTAGCCCATATTTCCGGTGTGGGTGAAGAACAGAGTTGTTCCTCACCCTCCCTCCCACCACGCACAGGCGCAACGTCTAAGCGCTTCCTCTCCGCTCAGTTGCTCACTGGGATGAGCTGCGGTACTGTAACAACAACGACGCGAGAATATTTCCTCACCCTGAATTTCTAGATCGGATCTTGATGAGAAATTCTGTACTGTACAGTATTTTCCCGCCTCGGATTTGCTGCCAAATGGAACCAGAACGCCAGTGCCACCGTGGGAGAATTTCCACGATATGGACCCTACCCGAACCCGACAGTTCCCTGCAGCCAGCAAAAGAAGTGCCGACTGACATAGCGGTTGAAAGTGGTGAGCCAGATAGAACTTCCACATGCAACAGAAGCACGTGTGAAATACTCCCTGAAGCTTCACTGTGTGAACCCATTAAAGCTGGTTCAGCGTACGTTATAAGGAGCAGTTGGAGGATATGTTCTCCTTTGTTAGCAGCTTCTCATCCTTGAGCACGCGCAAGAAAGCAAGGAGGGCGCTCAGGGCTTTTGCGTGCGTCCCGTCCGCTTGGAAGGCGAAATTGATGGCGCCAATCACGGGGGAAGAGTTCCTAGCGGAGTCGGCCTTCGTGAAGAAGAAGGGCCTGGCGAGTGCCTGGAAGGCGGAGAAAGTGGTGCAGGATGGCCTCGCCTGCCGAGCGTGTGACTGGTTTGGCGTGCCCCTGGTGGGGGTGGCGGAGACAACTGCGGTTCTCCCCCTGGACAAGGTGGAGCCGTTGATGGTGAGGGGCGGAAGGGTGATTGGAGCGGGTGGCCTCCCCGAGGTACGGCTGCGCTGCTCAGAGCTCTGCATGGAGGATCAGGTCCCCCCCCTCAGGCAGCTGAGGTTGCTTTTTGGCGCGCAGCAAGGGGTGATGCAGCAGCAGGAGAAGTGGTCGGATGAGTGGGGAAGTGTGATTGACTGGAAGAGGGTCATCAGGGTGCGGGACTCCGCAGTGCTTCCGAACCGAGCCCGGGATGTTCTGCTTCGCCTGCATTGTCGTAATCTCCAAGTCGGGGTGCGGCTAAAATTCCTGGAGGGGATGGCATGCCCGCACTGTGGGGAGGAGGAGACAGCGGAGCACTGTTTGTTCAGCTGCCCTAGGATTCAGCCAGTGGTGCGGGGGCTGCTAAAGGCTCTTCAGATCATCAACCCGGGCAGGAAAATCACTTCGTTGGGGGACTTACTGTTTCAGAAGGAAGGCTCGAGCTCGGGCTTCCCGGAATCCACAATCGCAGCCATCGCTTTGCATAAGATATGGGTGGAAAGGTGTGACGTGGCGTTTGAGAGAGGGCGGTTTCGGTCCAGGAGGGTATTACGAAGGATTGCAGCCGCTTTCTACACCTACACAAGGATCTATCTTCGGGCGAAGAAGAGGAGTAAACGGGCAGGAGTTATGCTGGGGCCGGGGCAACGTTCCATCCTGGAACGGTTGGATCCGGACGAATTTCGGCTGGTAAGCAGAGTCTGTGACAGCTCGGCAAAATCGCTTGCGTGGACCGGTGGCTTCACCTCCATCTGGGCCAATCCACGCACGTTTTTCCATCCCCCTTAAAGCCGCGGTGCAGATATCTTAGGAACAGTGACAAACAGTTTTTTGTCTTGTTCCTTCCTGGTCGCCAATTGGCTAGCGAGAGAGTAGATTGTGTTGCGATGAAGAGAAAAAAGAAACAACTGATGCGAACGTCGCCAACCTCGAAAGTGAGGGGGAAGGGGAAGGGGTGGGGGGAGGGAAGGGGGGAACACACACGACAACGCGAAATTCGAAACCCATGAGTATGCCGTCATCTCTACATTGCATAACGAAAGAGTTTGTATTTAAAATAAGCTGAGTACCACACAAATATCATATTCTGCGACTCAAAGGGACATTTGAGGATTTCAGAACGATCAAAGTTTGGGGTGGTTGTTTCCCTTTTCTTTTTGGGTGCAACGAATGTACACATGGCAGGCAAACATGAGTGTCTTTAAATCCTACATGGCATCTCCAAGATGAGCCAGACTTCACACCCCTCTGATCCATTATTGATGCAGCTGTCCACCGATAGCAGGGGGGGAGGGGGGTAGGGAAGGACACCAGCCGAAGAAGTGAAAAATGTTTGATGGGGAAATTGAATGGAGGGTTGGCAGAAACAGTGGGGTGCGCGACGACACAAAGTGATGGGGTGGGTGAAGGGAAGTAGTTGGGTGGGTGAAGGGAAGCAGCGGGGTGGGTGAAGGGAAGCAGTGGAGTTGGGAGCGGTGGAGCAGAGGGTTGGATGTCGTCACGCCTGCCACCGTGGGGTCATAGTGGAAAGGGAAGGGTCGGATGAGGGGAATGGGGAGGGACAGGAGAGGGGGGAAAGGGATGGCCGGGAGAGGGGTGAATGGTGGGACTGAATAGGGGGAAAGGGAAGGGATGGGAGAAAGGGAAAGGAAGGGTTTAGGAATCGGGGGATGCCTTGAAAGGACAAGGGTAGGGTAAAGGGTGGATGGTGGGGGAAGGAGGGACGGACACCGATGGAAGGAGGGACGGGGACGGGGGGAAGGTTTGAATGGTAACGGGGGAAAGGAGGGACGGCGGGAGTGGGGGAGAGGAGGATTGGTGGTGGAGAGACAGTGAGAGCGAGCCGCTTGCTACCGTCGCGCCTTTGCTGCCTGCAGGGAAGGGCAAGACGCCAAGGGACCGACGGACAAGGGGAGTTCGGGAATGGGGAGGCGTGAAACTGAAGGTGTGGCATAGGAGGATGTGCCATGGGGGATGGTGGCAGGGGGGAATGCCCTGGAACAAACAAGGGGGAAAACGACGGATGGGAGTGCGAAAAAGCGAGGGTTGGGTGAGGGGACAAGGGGACGAATGGGTGCAGGGGGGAGCAGCGGAGGGGGGGGGGGGCTGAATAGTGAATAGTGCTTTGGGTCAATCTCTCACGCTTGAACTAGGACAGGAATGGGATAGGACAGGGGAAGGAGAAAGCGACAGGGGGAATGGGATAGGACAGGGGAGGGACAGGAGAGGAGGGAAAGGGATGGCCATCAGAAGAGTGAATGGTGGGATGGGATTGTGGGAACGGGAAGGGATGTGAGAGAGGAAAAGGAAGGGTTCAGGAAAGGGGGAAATGAGCAGGAAAAGCAGCGACGGTAGTGGGGGAAAAGGGACGAATGGGGGCAAGGGGACGGATGAGAGCAGGGCGAAGCAGTGGGTTGGGAGAGGGGAAAGGAGGGAGGGAGAAGAAGGGGAGGGAAGGATAGGGGGACAGGGAAGAAAGAACAGGGGGGAGGATTAAGCATCAGGAGGAACGAAAACGATGAAAGGGAGGGAAGGACTAAGGGGAAAGGGAGAGAATGACAGGGGGAAAGGGTGGGAAGGACATGGAGGAAAGGAGGAAGGACAGGGGGGAAGGGATAGAAGGAGTGGGGGAAAGGGAAAGAAGGACAGGGGCCTATAGCATGTCGCTGCACGCTCCCGCCTCGCCCGCCACTCGCTAACGCTCGCCACCGCTCGCCACTGTCGCGCCGCTGCTCGCTGTCACGTGCGCAACTAGCCGGACCATGTCGTCTCGTGACCGAGCTGTGCATCGACCTCAGGCGATGCTCGCCACAGTAGCACCTATTCCGACCATCGATCGCTGTTCTTCCCATCCTTTCCCCCTGTCCTTCTCACCCATTCCGGCCCTGTCGCCATCGTGCTTGCAGTTTCTTGCCGCCATTGCGTTTGCCACACACATCCCCTTGCCTTCGCCGCATCGCTACCAATCTCGCTCGCTAAAGCCGCTTGCGAGGTTTGGACGCGTGATGCTTAGGGACCGTCGGAACAGATGCTTTGCCCCGCTGCTCGCTAACGACATCCCGCTGCTCGCTAACGTCGCCCTGCTGCACGCAGACGTCGCCCCGCTGCTCGCTACTGTCGCCATCGCAGCTCACTATCGTCATTGCGCTGTTGTCGCCATGCTGCTCGCTACCGTCGCCGCTATGCTCAGTATCGTCGCCCCGCTGGCTGCTGTCGCACCCAATCCTGCCTGCCACCACGTCGCTCCCAACTACTTCCCTTCACCACGTCGCTGCTTGCCACCGCCGATTCGTGAGAAATAGAGGGACGGGAGAGGGACTACAGAACGAATACCGCGGAGGAAATCGCGCGCAATGCGCTACGGGTACAGCCGCGGTGGTGTTTTTTGGGGTACGAAATAGCGCAGATATTCGAGCGCACACTAAGAGGCGAAGAAGAGCGATAGATCTGGGGCGAATGGCTCTCAAGAAGCCCTACGGGAAGGCACTTCAAGTTAGTAGTAACCTAGCCTAGTGCGAGAGATTGCTGAGTTTGAGCAGTTTTGAGTTCAAGTTTCAAGTTTCAAGTTTGATGCCTGGCCACCCCTTCATGCTGTGGTGCGGTGCTTTTCCGCAAGCCCTCCCCAGCTTCCCCCCCACTCATCATGCTACGAGGCACTTTTCCGCACGACCTTCCCCCGCTCTCAGAAAGCTCTGCCAACCCGAGACTTCCAGTGTATACTGGGTAACGCGCCTTTCAAGCTATAATACTTTGAACTGGCGCAGCGATATCTGCACCGCGGCTTTAAGTTGTTAGGATGGGTACGACGGCAGGGTGTTGTCTAGGCCCATCAGCTACAGTTACGACTGTTAATGCTTGCTTGCTTGGAGGATATGTTCTGGAGATTCTTAAGTTCTCCACTCTCAATATTAGATTATTGATTATTACATGAATTGCAGTGGTGGATCCTGTGATACTTGTAGGCCTCAACTCGCAGCCTGATATCTCGTTTCTATTAGGCTGGAGGTCAGGCTGATCTTAAAGCTCAAGGCCCAAATTGTTCAGGATTACTAAAGTTGACCCTTGGGTGGTGGGAAAGCAGAGTAGGAAAGTCGAGGTGTTTGAGGGGTGTAGGGGTTTGGTTTCGCCCAGCTTCTCGCCACACTCAAAACAAAATTCGCTGACTCAGCAAAGCCTAGGGGACGCTCAGGTTTGGTTGCGCGAGTCCCATATTGCACAAATATTACTCTTGCCAGTTTCCCGCACCACCTGTTCCATTCGCTGACTCAAATGTTCTGGCCAATCAGATGGCTTCGTACATTTCGTAACCACAATTCGCCCAGCTAAAGCTGCAAAGCAGCACTCGATCAACCTTACTAAACTTGCCTCGCGCGGCCCGCAATTTGGGCCTTGAGCTTTAAGTATGCTCAAGATGGATGGTAGGAGGTGGAAATGGAAATTTAAGACCAAAAAGAAGGTACTAGGGGCGTGCTGAGGGAATATTTGTGAGCTTGTAGGATTTCGCTCGCTTTGCCAAAGATGTTTTGCTGGCTGCTGGTTAGGAGCCTAGAAGCTCGAGGCAGGGGAAAATTAGCGTTCGCGGCCAGCATCGGAGCGGCTACTATATTCCATACGCAATTTCAGTGAGCGTATTAGTCAAACACAAGCAGATAGCGTTAGCTGCGCCGCTTCCTAATGGAAGCAGGACGAGACGGTCACGATGCCATCTCCGCAGATGTCGCAAACGGCGACAACGTGTGCGACATTCGCGAAGATGGTAACGACGACGATAACGATGACGATGCGCTGGACGATCTTTTGGAATCTTCGTTCCAGGACCACTGTCGCGAGAAGCTAGCCGTCGCAAATTCCATTCCGGCTGCCGTCAGTAACCCAATCACGTCGTGTCGCGTCCCGACAAGCGCTGCGGGGCTCGAATTCCGCGACCCGCTGCCGTTGCGCGCAGGACACGCCAGCCGCCACTCGGCCGAGCTCGAATTCCGCGAATTCCGCGACTCGCAGCCGTTGCGCGCAACGCACACCTCGCTTGAGCTATCACCTCGGCGTGGCGGCAGTGTGATTGTAGCGGAGGGGGGTCGTTGCTTGCAGGACACGCCAGTATCCACTGCGGCTGTTAAGAGTGAAGCTAAGGAAATCTTTCCCGGTTCTGGTACTGGTGGTGGTTCTACTCTCGCTGCTGCTGTTGCCGTTGCTGCGCCTGGAGTTGTTGCGGCTATCGAGAATCCCACAACGGCAGCACTAGCAAAGCCAATCCTCTCCGATTCGCCCTTTTCCGCATCCCTTGACGCGTCCTCCGCGAATCTGGACTGTCCGAAGATCTCCTTCGCGTTTCCAGGATGGGCGGTCGAGATCAGCCGGGCGAAGGAATCGACGGTCGTGGTGGACAGCGCGAGCGGGGGGCGGAGGGGAGAAAAGAACCGAAGGGGAGAGAAGAGGAGAACCAGAGCTGGACAGGAGGGGAGAGAGGGAGAGAATACTCAAGATTTGGAGGGTGGAGGGGAGAGAGAAGAGGCGGACGAGAGAGAGGAGAGGGAGGAGAGGGAGGAGAGGGAGGAGAGGGAGGAAAGGGAGGAGAGGGAGAGAGTGTGGATGGGTGTAGAGCTAGGGGACAGGGTACCGTTCCTCTCCTTGCCTCAGGAGATTTTGACCATGCTCTGTTCAAGGGTGTCCTGGCGAGACTTATGCACACTTAGGTAAGCATGCTAAGCATTCTCTTAGTCAACTCAAACTGAAGCTCTCCAAACGCGGACTTAGCTAAGCGCCAGTTGTCACTTAGGCGGTCCGGTGATGCTTACACTGAGAATCTTAGAAGTATTCCTGGTTGTGGTCGACCAGACTCAACGCACATCACTTAGATAAGCGTATTGTGATTTTCGGGTGGCCGTGTTTTTTCTGGTACCTTATTCTCCACAATCGGCCGTGGTTTAAATACGCTTGCACTTCCCCTCCCTCTCATCTATCCCAGGGTTACATCTAAAACCGTACGGGATCAACTAGACAGAGATGAAATCTGGGCGGCAGCAGCAGCTGAGGCGAGCAGGCAGGGCGACATCAAGCTGCCCCGGGCACGCAAGACGTTTGCAGGCTTGGGGGTGGTGATAAGTGGACAGGGGATAAGCGGACAGGCGATAAGCGGGCAGGCAATAAATGGACAAACGATAAGCAGTCAGGCGATAGGTGGTCAGGCAGCGAGCGGGCAAGCGATAAGTGGGGAGGCCATAGGTGCGCAGGCGATAGGTGGGCATGCGATAGGTGGGCATGCGATAGGTGGGCATGCGATAGGTGGGCATGCGATAGGTGGGCATGCGATAGGTGGGCCTGCGATACGAAGCAGTCAGGTGATAGGCGATCAGGCGACAAGCGTTGGTGTGGGGGATGCGGAGTGCCGAGAGGAAGGTGGTGCAGGGGATGCGTGGTGGCAGCAGCACCTGTTGCTGCTGCAGCAACAGCAACGCACCCACATACCCATGTGAGTTGAATCTTGACATGACTCGATAATTTCCTTCTGTTGCAACAACAGCAGCAGACCCGCACACGCCCTTGTGGGTCTACTTTGGTTTGGAGTCAACTCGAAAGTTCCCTCTGCTGCAGCATACTTGACTCGATAATTCCTCTGCTGCAGCAACAGCAGCAGAACCACATACCCATGTCACTCAAATCTTGACTTGTCTCGATTTTAACCTATGCTGCAGCAACAGCAACAGGCACATATACTCATGTAAGCGTGGGTTTTCTGTGCTCATCCCCACTTGTAGCCATCTGTCCTTTCGTTGCTACATCCCCAGCTTCATCCCCCTTACAGGCTACCCCGTTTCCTCGTCCCACATCCTGTTGCATGTGCCACCTTCTACCTTCTTCTATGGTTTTCATCTACCCATGTTTCATCATTATCGTCTTCGTTACAGGCACTAGTCTTTCGATTCTGTCGTCGCGCATATGAAAGAGAGTAGCTTTTAGTGCTCTCAACTGCCTTTGACTTCCTGCAATCCCAACCTTCGTGATTGCCTTCTCCCCTACAGGCACTACCTATTCAAGTCTCTCATCCTGTCGTCGCGCATACGAGAGAAGCTACCAGTGCTGTCACCCGCCTTCGACTTCCTGCAATCTACTCTGGACCTATGGTGGGGGGATGAGATGGATAGGTGGTGGGGAGACAAGAAAAAGAAGCAGCATGAACTGGGGGAAAAGGTTCGTTGGGTGGGTTATCAAGTAACGAAGGGGACACCTGGGGAAGTTAGGGAAGGGAGGAGGAGTAAGAGGAGGAGGAGAAGCACTAGAAGTAGGAGTGAGAACATTAGGAGGGTGGAATTGGGAGGTGTGAGTGGTGGAGGGAGGGTGGTTGGGAGTGTGAGGGAGTCTGAAAGAGAGGAGGAGGAGGATGGGGGTGGAAGGAACAGGGGCAGAGAAAGGGGTTTTATTGAGGGGAAGAGGGGCAGTCAGGGTATAGGGAAGGATGGAGAGAGGCGGAGGGGAAGGAAGAGATGTGCAGAATCTGCAGCGGTTGTGGCGGCGATTGATTCAAATATGGCAGCAGCAGCCTCTGCAGCAAAACCTGCGTCAACCACGGCAGCTGTAGTTGACCAGTCGCGGTCAGTAGCAGAAAGTGCAACTGGTGAAGCAGCAGCAGCAACTGGAGCAGCAGCAGACAGAGTTGAAGCAACAGTTGCAGCAGTGAAAACAGCTGAGGTAGAGGCAGTGGTAGGGACAGCAAACACAGCAGCAGGAGTGCATTTCTCACAAGCAGTAGCAGAAGAGGCGGCAGGCGAGGCAGCAGCAGCAGCAGCAGCAGCAGCAGCAGCAGCAGCAGCAGCAGCAGCGAACGTAGCAGAAGCAGAGGCGGAAGCAATGGTAGCAGGCACAGCAGCAGCAGGAGTGCATTTCTCACAGGCTGTAGCAGAAGAAGCGGCAGGCGAGGCAGCAGCAGCAGCAGCGTCTCTTCTGGTGGAGGCTCTACTGGCCTACCCCCTCCTGTCGCTGCTGCCTTTTGCGCCCCTGCCTGTTGGTGGTGCGAAGGAGGGGGAGGATGGGGAGGAGTCAGAGGAGGAGGGTGATAAGGAGGGAAAGGAGAGAGAAGAGAGAGAAGAAGGCAAGGAGGAAGAGGGGGAAGAGGGGGGAGAGGAGGATGTGGAGGACGAAGAGGGCGAAAAGGAGGAGGAAGAGGAGGAAAAGGAGGAGGAAGAGGAGGAAGAAGAGGAAGAGGAGGAGGAGGAAAAGGATGAAGAGGAAGAGGAGGAGGAAGAAGAGGAGGAAGAGGGAGACACGGATGAGGGAGGGGAGGAGTCAACTACAGCAGCAGCACAGGAGGAGGATGAATTAGACCTTGCAACGGTCCAGGCACATGATTCGGATGCGGTGAGGCGGGCAGTTAAAAAACTTACTAGTTTCAACTGGGCTGTGGCTTATGAGGGGCTGGCTGTGGTATTTGGGAGTAGGGCAGATAGGATTGCTTGGGAGGTGGGGGGTGGATGGGGAGGAGAGGGGTCGAGAGAGAAGGGAGAGTTGGGAGGAGAGGGGAGGGAGGAGGGGTGTGAGGAACGGTATGGAGCAGCAAGTGAGAGGGGGGCAGCAGAGAAGCGTTATATATCCGTAGGTGAGGAGGGAGAGGAGTGGAGAGGGGAGTGCGTAGAGAGAAAGTATAGGAGGGAGGAGGAGGAGGATGGAGAGAGGGATGGAGAGAGGTACAAAGGAGGAGGAGGAGGAGGAGGAGGAGGAGGAGGAGGAGGAGGAGGAGGAGGAGGAGGAGGAGGAGGAGGAGGAGGAGGAGGAGGAGGAGGGGAGGAAAGACGAGAAGGGATGGAAAAAGGAGAAGGGAAGGGAGGTGGGAATGGAGGAGAGGGAGTAAGGAAGGAGGAGGAGTGGGAGGAATGGGATAGAGAGTGGGCAATAGAGGATGCAGAGAAAGTGAGTCGGTTGCTGGTAGGGGGGAAGAGGAAGCGGGGAGGAAGGGGAGACGGGAAGAGAGTGGAGGACGAGAAGGGTGAGAGTGATGCGAGATACACGAGGATAAAGAAAGAAGGAAAGGGAGTGAGGCAGGAAGGTATGTTTGGTTCAAAACTCCCAAGGAAAGACCCCCGAAAGAAGGAGCTGGCGTTTGAAGCGAAAGGGGAAGGACGTGAGGAAGAAAATATTAGTCCAAGAAGGCTACAGTTTGGAGCAGGCGGCGGTATGGGTGTTCAAGGTGCAATTTCTGCTGCAGTTTCAAGGGAGGGAGAAACTTTTGAGAATTCTCAACAGTTAGGGGCGGGCAATATGGGTGCTCAAGGGGTAACTTCTGCTGCAGTTTCAAGGGAGGGAGAAAAGGTGGAAGCAGCAGTGAGGTTGTGGCAGAGGGTGCTGCAGCAGTGGGGTGTGTACCGGAGGTGGCTCAAGCTGGTGGCGTTGCATTGCCCCAACCTGCAGTTTGAAGTGATGATTGAACGCGCCAGGTGAGTTGCGGTGGGATGCAGTGAGGTGAGGTGAGGTGGAGCAGGGCAGGCAGCAGTGAGGTTGTGGCAGGGGGTGCTGCAGCGGTGCGGTGTGTACCGGAGGTGGCTCAAGCTGGTGGCGTTGCATTGCCCCAACCTGCAGTTTGAAGTGATGATTGAACGAGCGAGTCATTCACCGGGTGAAGTGCGGTGCAGTGAGGTGAGGTGAGATGCGGTGGGGCAGGGCAGGCAGCACGCCTCTACTCAAGTTGGTGGCGCTGCATTGCCCCAACCTGCAGTTTGAAGTGATGATTGAACGTGCCAGGTGAGATACGGTGAAGTGTGGTGAGATGTGGTGCGGTGAGATGCGATGAGGCGTGGCAGGGCAAGCAGCATACCTCTAATCAAGCTGAAGCTGGTGGCGTTGCAATGCCCCATCCTGCAGTTCGAAGTGATGATTGAACGCGCCAGGTGAGGTGCGGTGAGATGCGGTGAGGTGAGGTTGAAGCGAGGTGGGACAGGTTGATTGTGGTGCACGCAGGTGGTGAATGAGCCCGATGCAGGTTGCTCTTTCGCCTCTTTCCTTTCCTTCTCTTTGTTTCCTTTTTTTTCTTTTCTCTCTTTGGTCAATGTTTTTTTCTTTATTTTTCCTGCTTCCCCTTCCTGGCAATCCTTCCGTCTCGCTCTTTCCAGGTCGAACCATCACTCGGCCACACCACACCGACACTCTACGACAAGGGGGTCAGCAGCTTCAGGTGGAACCACTGTTCACCATACTTCAACTCCCTCTACCTCCCCCCACCCACCCCATTCCACCCCACTCCTATCCTTCCTCCCCTCTCTCTCCAGATCGAACCATCACTCGGCCGCACCACACCGACAGTCTACGACAAGGGAGTCAGCAGCTTCAGGTATCACCTTTCACCTTACTCTAACCCCCCCTCTCCCCCTACTCTCCCCCCCGCCCTCCCCCCCCCCTCCGATCTTTCCTTCCCCCTCTTTCCAGATCGAACCATCACTCGGCCACACCACACCGACAGTCTACGACAAGGGAGTGAGCAGCTTCAGGTGGAATCACCATTCACCATACTTCAACTCCCTCTACCTCCCCCCACCCACCCCATTCCACCCCACTCCTATCCTTCCTCCCCTCTCTTTCTCGCCAGGTCGAACCATCACTCGGCCACACCGGCAGTCTACGACAAGGGGGTCATGAGCTTCAGGAAACACCGTTGTTCACCTTACTTCAACTCCCTCTACCCCCCCTCCCCCCCCCCCCCCCCGCTCCTATCCTTCCTCCCCTCTCTCTCCAGGTAGAACCATCATTCGGCCACACCAACAGTCTACGACAAGGGGGTCATGAGCTCCAGGTAAGGCAGTTCACCTGATTGTAACCCCTCGTACCACCCCCCATTCCCTCCTTCCCCTATCCTCCGCCACTCCAATCCTTCCCCCTGCCCCTCTTTCCAGGTCGAACCATCATTCGGCCACACCGGCAGTCTATGACAAGGGGGTCATCAGCTTCAGGAGGAGCCATAGTTCACCATACTTTAACTCCCACTACACCCCCCCGCCCCCCCCCTCCTTATCCTTCCCTCCTCGCTCTCGCCAGGTCGAACCATCATTCGGCCACACCGACAGTCTATGACAAGGGGGTCATCAGCTTCAGGTAAACAGTTCTTCTTCACAATTAGCTTCACGAAACGCGGTTTACTTCAGTCCTTCCCACTCTATATCCACCCATCTGATAATATTTCCAGCCACCCTGTTTCGGTCCCTCATATTTCCACCCATCATATTCCCACCCCTGTTACTCTCGTCCCTCGCGTGCCTTACCTTCTTGTATGTTTCATGCTCACATGCGTTCCCCTTCTCGTATGTTTCATGCTCACATGCGTTCCCCTTCGCTTGCTTCATGCTCACATGTGTTCCCCTACTCGCTTGCTTCCAACTCACCTTCCCAGGAGCAACGTTCTGTTAGCCTTTGGCCTGCGCCACCGCTTTCATGTGTTCTCCTTCAACTCATTTCTGTTATTCGCGTCTCTCTCTTGTGCGTTCCCTCTCACCTTCCCAGGAGCAATGTCCTTTTAGCCTTTGGCCTGCGCCGTCAGTTTCAAGAGTCTCTCCTTGTTCTCATCGATGCCGCTCACACTGCTTTCTATGCCCCAACGCGCGCCGCTTCCGCTTCAAGTGCTGCTGCAATTTTCCCTGAGACAGCGCACCTGGTTCCACTGCTAAAGCAGATTAAGCATCTCTTTCAGGTAAGTGTGGGCTGCGTCTTTTCGGTGTGCATCACAAGCCAGATCAAACCACCTGACTTGATTCAACCCAACTTACCCCACAGACACGCAGAGCAGAATGTGGCTGATGAATCGAGGTGACTTTTGAGTCAACTCAAAAGTAACCAAAGTCAACTTTTGAGTCGACTCAAAAGTCACCTCGTACACACACACACACGCAGAGCAGGATGTGGCTGATTATTCCACCCTCCCCCCCATCAAGCGCACTCATGCTCCACACAAACACCCCTCAGTTCTCCATCTTGACCGGTGCCCAGCTTGTTTACTCGTGTTATTCAACCCATCTTACCCCTCACACATGCAGACCAGGACGGGCTGGTGATGTCACACCTTAATTCTCCACCTTAACTTCATCTAACTCCATATGACCCCTTGTTACCCCTTGTTGACACTTGTTACCGCTTGTTACCCCTTGTTACCCCTTGTTACCCCTTGTTACCCCCCCCCCCCCCCCCCCCCCCCCCCCCCCACCCCCCCCACACACACAGGAGCTGGACGTAGCTGATGATGCCACCCTCCCCCCCATCACGCACACCCAGGCCAAGTTCAGGCGCTGTTTCTGCACCCTGCTTAAGAAAGAGCTCCCACCTGGCCTTTTAACTAAGCGCCGAGCCTCTGCCATACATCCCGCTGCTGCAACTGCTGGTGGCTTGGCTGGTGGGAATATTCCCTGTGCTGAACGTCTGAACAGTGGGAGTAGGAGCAGCAGGTGTAGGCGGTATAAGCTGTACTTGTCGAAGCAGAGAGGATGGAAGAAGGTTGCTCCAAATTTTAAATGAGTGTAAGGATGGAGATTTTATGGTTGGTTGCAACAAGCACTGGTGTATTCCTGTTCAAAATTATGATGCATGTGTGTTCAATACGTGGGAAGTTGAATTGCAAACCAGGGTGCAAAATAAGTAACGACAAATAAATACATTAAAAGGAGCAACTCACACTAGCAAACTGGACTACACAAGTCATGTTCTGGAAACGCCAATCATGACTAAGAAAGAGAAACATGATTCCTTTTAGAGACAAGTTATTTCATATTATTCAACAAGTGTGTTGCCAGAAACCGAGGGTAACCAGGTTTAGCACTGAGAGTACGACACCAAATTTTCGCGCCGGTGATTCGCATGCTCCGAAAGTTTTCGGCCGGTTGGATAAGCCGCCCGTCAGCTTGTGTTGAGCCGTAAAGGGGTCGTTGACGATCACGTCGTCTTGGTGTTCGACCTCCTCATAACGTCGCGTAAAATCGCGCAGGTCGCGCGATATTTTATTTTCCTCTCGTACCTCCACCACTGGGTCGCGTTGTGTCGCATAAACTCGCGCTCCTTTTTCTCCATTTCGCCACTCTTCCCTGACCAATCCACCGAAGTTGCGAACAAAAATCTCCTCCATTCACAGCAATGCGACGCGACCCCCGACTTCACTTTCCCGCTTCATTCACCAATGTCGCCCGGCAACAGTCAGAAATGGCCGCCCCTTCTTTCTTCAAGTTTTGGTTGAGGGGTCGAAATCACTCCGATCAACCCCGCGTCCTATCTCCGCCAAACGAGGATGAATTGTGCTTTCCGCGCTCCGCCCACTCTGCTCCTGTTGTGTTGGTTTCCGCGCAGAACGTGAAAACTGTTCGCATTGCACATGCCGCCGCCCCTCTTGGTCGCCTCCGCCCCTCTTGGTCGCCTCCGCAAAAGCCGCCAGCCTGTGCAGCAAAGCTCCGCTTTATAACTCCAGAGATGCGGTGTGTAAAAGGCCGCTTTAGAAAACACCAGCAAATGCGTGCAAAAAAGTCGCTAGAAAAGCCGCTTCAGAAAGCCGCGTAAGCGTGCATGTCAAACCCGCACATGCTAGCCATGTCGTCCGCAGCAGCAACACCAGCGCCCACGTCGCCATCCTCGGCACACCCCATCCCTCCCATCGCGCCTTCCATGCTTCCCAGGAGATCGAACGGCTCCTGATTCCCCCTCATGCTTCCGCTCATATTCTCCCTTGAGCCCACAAATTCCCCACCCGAGCATCGCCGTTCCGCCTCTCCCGCGCCTTCCATACACGGCTGAGGCAGCCCATCATTCCACGAGGAGAGGCCGTCAAGAGCAGCCCCTACATACACACCATTCTCGACGAGCTCGCCGATCGGAGGAGCAAACGCAGCATTCTTCCCGCCATGCACTGCTGTTCTCTTCACAGCCTCGGAATCGCTCTCCCCATCCTCCGCCTCCGCCCCCGCCTCCGCCGGAGCCTTTGCCGTCAGGCCGAACGGTAAGCCAGCAGATTGCTGCATCGCGGTCGCGTCGCCGTCCATCCAGCCGTCCAGAAATCCGGCGCCGCCGCCGCCGTTAGCGGGAGCGTGGGAATAGAGGTCGTAGAGATCGGGACCCTCCTGCTGGTTGGCGGAAGCGACGAATCGCTCAGATTCCCCCTCTGCGATGGCGAATTCGTTCATATTCGCGACGCGGTTACCAGCGCTGGCGAAAGCTCCGAGGGGCTCAAAGAGCGGCGGGGGGGGAGGCTGGGGCACGGCCGGGGATGACGACGCAACGCCAATGGGGAAGGCGGGAGGGGGGAGCGCGAATGGCGCGCCGCCGATCTCATCCAAGGACGAATCAGGCGAGTTGCTTTGGGTTGGGAAGCAGGTCTCCTTGTTCCCAAGGTTAGAAGCACACGGCGCAAATTCTTCCACATTCTCTTCCTCCTCCTCCTCGTCCTCCTCGTCCTCCTCGTCCTCCTCTTCCTCCTCCGCCTCCCCCGCTGGCGCCGCCGCAGCCGCTAGGTGCTGCCGCTCCTGCCGCCGCTGCTGCTGCTGCTGCTGATGATGAAGGGGCTGGAGCCGGGCAGACGGAATTTCCACTTCTTCCTCGGATTGGTTTGACTGCCCGGCGCGGTCCGACTGCGCAGAGCCGCCAGGCTGGTTGCCCGGAGCAGAGCCGCCGCCGGTGGTGTCGTTGAATCGCGACGTGACGGGGCGATCGGCGGGTGGGAGCTGCGGGTTCCCCAGCTGCTGCTCGATTTCCTGCATCTGCACGGACGAAAGAACAAACGCGATACAAGGAGATTCGTTAGAGTTTGTGTCATGTTTGAAGTGCGAAGTAACCACGTTCGTTACAGGAGTTGGGTGAAACAGCATCATTCTTTCTGCATTCCCCATTCCGACCCTAAACTTCCTGAATCCAGCACCCACGAGCAGCCACGCGCACCCACGAGCAACTCACCATGTCAAAAAGCTGCGTGTTCTGCAGCAGCAACTCCTGGTAGTCCGATTTCAGAAGCTCGTAGTCGTCTTGCAGCTCGCGGCACGTCGCCTGAAGCTTCGTATACGCCGCTTGCATACCCTCCAGCTCCGTCTCGCGCTCCCGTGTTCGCTGCCGCACTTTGCGGTTCTGAAACCACACGCACACCTGCCGCGGCTTCACGCCGAGCCGCGCCGCCAGCTGCTTCTTGCTCGCCGGAGTGAGCTCCTGCTCCACCGCGAAATGCGCCTCCAAATGCGCCAGCTGCTCCTCCGCGAACCGCGGGCGCTTCCGCTTCATTGACTCCGCCGGTTGCGCTCCGCCACCTCCGCCGCTCCATCCGCTCCCGCCGCTGCCGTAAGTACCGGCGGTGTTGCCAGTCGACGACGCGGGGAAGCGGTGGGAAGGCGCGCGGATCATCCCCGCGCAAGGGGTGCCGGGCGCCTGCAGGTGCGGGGCTCCGCCAGCCGCGGAAGGGGAGCCGGGGGGGAACAGCTGCGGGGGAGGCGGGATGCTAAGCGTCGGGGGGAAGCAGCGCGGTTGAACCGCGGGGGACTGGGTGAAGACCGCGTGCGCATTCCCCGCGATCTCGATCCCGCTTGCTCCGCTTGTCTGGGAAACACTCCCTCCGCCTTTTCCTTTCCCGCGGCCTCTGCCGCCGCCTCTTCCGCCGCATTTCTTGGGTGTGTTAATCGCCGCCGCGTTCGAGGCGAGCGGAGTAGTTGGCGGAAGCAGATTAGCTTGGCGACATCGAGGATCGTCGACTTCTGGATTCAGGCCTTCGCCAGAATCGTCCGAAAATCCGCATGTTGGGGGCTGCAGATTCGCAAATTTCGGCGAGCTTAGCGAACCGTGGTGATTCTTCGCCGCCGAGTTGGAATTCCCGCCACGGAATTTGGCCTTGGGCGGAAATGCGGGGCTGGTGGACGGGCCTCTTCCGCCCGGAGTCATGGGGGCGAGCTCAGCAGCGCGAAACACGGAGGGCTCCCTTGCTGTCGACGGTATGTCCATTGGCATAAACTGGAGGGCCATAGTTGTCTCTCGCGACTCCTCTCGGCAATCTTTTCGCGTGGAGATACTTGGAAATTAGAAGGCGAACGTCTTAAGCGGAGGTGTAACAGTGGCAGATCTTCGCAGGGGCATAGTATTTGGTGAATCCGCTTTGCGACGTTCCTGCTACGGCAGGAGTTCAGCCGCAATTCGCGCCAGGGAAGCCAGGTCCGCCTGGAGATGGGTTGCGCGATCCGTTGGAAATGCGTAGAAATGGAAGAGTGTAATAGCCCTTTTTCTCCTGAGGAGAAGAGGCTCCACAGGTGATCAAAGAGATTCTTTTTCAAAAGGGCAAATTTGGTCACGTGAGACGGAAGGTAGGGTGGTAGGGTGGAGGAATAAGAACAGAGAGGTGCCAATGAGGCGCGAATTCGCAGAGCACCACAACAGTACATGAGCTGTGTGTGTAACAATCGCTCCTTATCAGCACTGCAGGTTGGGGGCCTGGCTGGCTGGCTGAGGAGGCGAGGATGTATGTGCTTTGGTTGGGTGGCATGGGAGAGGCTCGGTAGAGATGTGACGCGACAAACTTGGTTAGGAAAGGAGATCGACAGATGGCTTAAGGACACTCGGCTTCGATGGGGGCGTGAGCTGGAAAGAGATGGGGATTTGACTCGAGGTAGGCTCGGGTTTGGGTTCGGTTATGTCGGCCGTGGAAAACACTGGAGCATGATGGACATTTTTTTTGCAAGGGCTGGTTTGGGGCATGGCTTGTGTGATGCTGTCACTTCACCCTTCGGAATTGGCAAATGCTGCCAATGGAACAGATGTTTCGTTCTGCCGGGTGATGGAATGGGGAAGCCAACTGTGATGAGCTGACAAGCTTGTGATGGAGTGATGTGACTGGTCGATCCAGTCAATTGGGAGTCAAACGAATATTGAACGATTGTCGGGAGGTTTGCACGATGTCATTGGGTGACGGGCACAATGGAGAAATAATCAATAGTTGTGTTTTGAACTCAAAAAATGGAACTCTGATCGACTATGTACATGGATTCAACAAAATTTGCACAGCAAGGATATTCTAAAGTGTAGAGTTCCTAAAAATGTTAGATCTTCTGGGATATTTGTTATGCTGACTGGGAAGCTGGTGTGTGCGTGAATGCAGCAAGTTTTGGGAGCCGGCTAGAATCAATTTGCAGCGACAGCCACAAGAGAGAGCCAAGGGTGGAGAGCCGCACTTGTCGCTAGCATAAACGCGTTGAGTTGGGGCGGACCAACCGGAAGGGAAGAAGCCACAAACCGGAACTCAAGGAAATCCGTGGAATGCGGCCGTGCTTGAGCGTGGAACGCGGAGGTTTGGCCTCTTGAGAGGCCAGGAGAGTGTGACACGTGTTCAGAACCTCTTCTGATGTGTCAGCAACTTTATCCCTCCGGAAACTCGGCGTCGAACAACAGAGATCCACCTGTCGCTCTATCTGAATGAGGTGAGGGATGCCAATGAGAACATCAGCAGTCTCGTGTCACTCCTACATGATCTGGCAAGTTCGGTACAATCGCAGTACACATCACACCAGCTCGATCACCTTTCATTATCAAAATACTATAGCACACTTCAATACTACATCTAGGCAAATCTTAAAAATATGACCTGATCTACCGTAATTTCTAGGCAATAAGACCCGAGGGTCATTAGAGAGTGGCATATTAATAAATACCCATGGAATTTTTTTTTTCCCCGTTCATGACACGGAGGGTGGCGTGGCGTCGTGCTACAAAATTTCTCTTACGTAAATTCGTTCATCCCGTTGACAAACATATGGAAGAGCGAGTGCGAGACCTTGTGAATCCAGAGGGTTCGAAACTGTTCCTCTCAGCGACCTACCTCCTGGAAAATGACAGGTGCCTAGCAGCCTTCAAGCGCTGGCTGAAGCAGCTCCACCTTCTCCACCACGAATCCCTTCCTGGTTTGTGCATGTATATGCTGAAGTTCTCTCTCGTTCTACCCACCCAACAAGAACCTCGCATATGTTTGTTTGTTGTTGAACATGTCAAAACATTATATGCTTTCTATATTTTTAGGATGTTTGAATAACCTAAAGGTGACAGTAACATTCCCGAAGGCTCTCCACTCGCACGTCACTCCATAACGAAGCTACTCGCCTGTATCATTATTGCAATAGCTCATATAGAGCATGTGTAAGGTCAAGGGTCACCCGAAGGTCAACAGTCAAAGACAGTCAACGGTTGTGACCTTTGACTGCCCAGTAACTGTTAGAATACTAGCGAGAATGACGAGAATGGATGACTAGAAAAGGGGGAGGGGTACAAGTACAAAGTCGAGAGAAATTGTGTACCTCCTAAGGCTAAACCCACTATAGCCTAGACAACTGTAAACACATAAACTAAGCATAGATACAACTAAGCATATATGTTTGACACACCCCCATAGGCGAAGTGGGGGATAGCCAGAGCAAGCAATGGTCACAAGACCAGTCAAGAGAAGAACCAAAGCAAAGCAAGCTCAGGGTGGATCACAAAGTCACCACACAGTCCGAGCACAAGCAAAGGGCCACAAGGCCAGTTCACATGCAGAGTTATATAAAGAGAACAAACAATACAGTGATCATACCCTAGCAAGTGCAAGCATGCAGGTATATAGATAGATCACAGTACAGGCAGAGTCAGGCAGTAAGTAAGTGAGGCAAAGTAGGCCCAAGGCCTAACACAGTAACAGAGCGCTGATGATCACCAGGCGGAAGTGCCTTGGTGAAGACATCAGCAGTGTTGGCCCGAGTGGCCACGTACGCTAGACGAAGCTGACCACGCTGCTGCAACTCTCGAGCAAGGAAGTATCGCAGAGCGATGTGCTTCGTTCTGTGCTCCAGTCTGTGCTCCTGACACAATGCTATCATAGCCTTGTTGTCTACGTACAGGACTGGAGGCGAACGAGGCTGCTCTCCCAAGTCGGTCAGCAAGTAGGTGAGTCAGCGTAGCTCCTGAGCAGCCATGGCTCCGGCGTAGATCTCATCCTCACAGCTGGAGCTGAGAACTGAGGACGAGCGGGTAGACCGACAAGAAACCGAGCCGGACCCAAGGCTGAAGGTGTAACCCTGCGACGACCGCTGCGTAGCTGAGTCGTCAACCCAAGAAGCGTCTGCGTGACCAGTGAGGACAACCGGACCTCGTCCTCCAAGCACAAGCCCCATGCCCGACGTACTGCACAGGTAACACAGTACCCTCTTCGCAGCATCCTAGTGCACCTTTCGATGCCTACCGGGAGCCACGTAGCGAGCCAGAAGGCTGAGAGGGTACGCGAGGTCAGGTCGTGTTCAGGTCATCAGGTACATGAGGCAACCCACAAGCTCTGGGTACGGACCACTCGGCTCTACGGACTCGTCCGAAGGTGGAGCTGAGAGCGAGTGGCTGGTAGACAGAGGAGTGAGCTGTGGCGAGGAGTACTGGAAGCCGAAGCGCTGAAGGACCTGGTGCACCATGTGTGACTGAGTCAGTGTGATGGTGCGCCGTGCTCTGTCCCGGGTGATCTGCAGGCCAAGATAGCTGCGCAGTTCATCCAGGTCAGTGCAGGTATGTCTCTTCTGCAGCTCGGACTTCACAAGGGTCAGTGCCTCAGTGTCAGCCGTGGCAAAGACAAGGTCGTCGACGTACACTAGGACGTAGAAGGGCGGCAGCGAGGTGTCGGTGCGTAGAAACAGCGACGGGTCTGCTGTAGAAGGAGCAAACCCAAGAGCCGCAAGCGTAGTCCTGAGTGTGTCGTGCCACTCGCGAGGCGCCTAGCGGAGACCGTAGACTGGCCGGCGGAGGCTCCACTGGGTACCTGCAGGAAACGACCCAGTGAAACCAGGTGGTCGGCGCAGCCAGATCTCCTCGTGCAGGCTGCCCTGCAGGAAGGCTGTACTGAAGTCCAGGGAGTGTAACTCGTAGTCACGCTGAGCAGCTACGTGCAGCAACACCTGAAGAGTAGTCATCTTTGGGGTGGGGGAGAAGGTCTGGAAGTAGTCAACTCCCTGTCGCTGACTGAAACCTCGAGCAACGTAGCACGCCTTGAAGGCAGGCGAAGAACCCGGCGGCCGCTTCACCTTGAAGATCCACATGCCATCGAATATGTTCACCCCAGGTGGGGGAACCTCGTCGACGTAAGTGCCTGTGGACTTCCAGGATGCCATCTCGGCATCCATAGCTGCCTGCCACTGAGAGGAGTAAGGACCCGTAATCGCCTCTGCGTAAGAGCGCGGGGTCGGGATGTCTGGAGCATCCAGGTCTCCCTCAAGGGCAAGCAGCAAGGAAGCGAAACGAGGTATAGCAGCTGCAAGACACTCAAAGTCCTCCTGCCTGTCCTCAAGGACGTCCGTGCCAAGTGCACACTCACCCCCGACGGACGGAGGACTGGCAGACACAGACTCAGCAACTAGAGCAGTAGTGTAGTCGAGACGGCAGGCAGCAGCAAAGTCAAGCAGCTCAGCAACGAGAGGAGAAGCAGTAGCAGACTCAAAGGACGGGTCAGTGACAGTAGTGGCAAGAAGACGAGCGACAGTGAAACTGGCAGCACGCGCTCGGTCAGACTCAGGGTCAGGGACCTCAGGAAGAGAGGACTTAGGAGGAGCAGGCAGAGGAACACGCAGTGGAACAGAGGAAGGACGGAGTGCCATGGTGAGCGTGCCTGGGACAGGAGGAGGACGCGAACGAGGAGCGCGACGAGCAGTGCGAACAGGCGAGACAGGACGAGACGCAGGCTGACGGCGCTATGTAAAACCTCCAGACTGCTCAGTGTAAGTAGAGGGAACAGGCAATGGGGAGGCTGGCTGTAACGGCGGCTGCGACTGGTCAGGCGGTGGACACAGGAAGGGAGGAGGAAGACCAGTAGAAGACGGGACACCAAGAACCTGCTGAAGCAGGGGAACGAAGTACGGGCGCGGTCGCACAGTGCCTCCAGCACCTCTAGCTCCAGGGTCAACAGCTCCAGCTCCTGCAGCTCCAGCGCCTCCTGCGCCAGGGCCTCC